GGTGGTCTGTTTCCAGGAAGCCCAGCCCAGCAACAGCCTCGGCAGGGTCTGACCCTACTCAGAGTCCATGCTGACAGTTTCTCTGGGCTACACTGCAGTAGGCAGAGAGCCCCTTCCAGGTTTGAGTCTTGTGCAGACACTAGCCATCTGTTTGTCCCCAGGCTCATCTCTCAGTGCTCCTCAGAAAAACAATGGCTTCCTTCTATGCATAGCTGCAGAGATAACAGCGAGGAGCACACAGACAAGGCAATGCTAGCAAGAAGGCAGGCACTAGATCAGACAGGACAGCACTTGGTAACCTAAGCCGAAGCCACACTCGCTTTGCTGATATAACTTTCCTGGGGTTAAGCAAGGCACCAAAGTTACAGTAAAGCTCACAGTCTCATGGAAAGACCCCAGTTCTAGGCAGAGTGTGATGGCTATGTAGTGGTAATGACCCTAGAACCCAGGGCACTAGCCCCATACAGCCCTGGATGCCCTTTGAATCCCTTTATCAGTCACACGAGTAGCATTCAGGAATAAATGGTGCTCAGAAAGGCCACCTTACCCTGCTGACAGGAGAGAATGTTATCTTTCAAGCCACAGCAGATAAGCAATGTCAGGCAACTTGAGCCTGGGACCCCAAACGGACACAATTATCAACAGTCCCTAGCAGAGCCAGGGCAGCTTGACCACTTTGGTCTATGCCAGCCCTACTTGTCTTTCTTGATTGAATTTCCTGCACATATGAGTGACCACAAGGAAAAGGGCAAAAAGTTAGGAGGGGATAGCCAACAGGGTGGGGATGGACCTAAAGGGAATAGGCAACGTTCCAGTGTGAAGGACCTCCACAGGGATGCTGTGTTTTCCAAGGAACAACTACCAACTGCAGCAAGGCCTGTCACATGTCACCCGCTCCTCAGGGCCTACCTTTCTGAGTGGAGATGCCTGCTTTCCACAGGAACACACTCCCCAGTTGACCTCCACTGTACAAAAGGAAGACTGCTGGGTGGGGTCTCTGAGAGGGGGCCTCCTTCCTCCATAACCCTGTGACCACCTTGGAGCCTACACTGAGCACCTCTGAAGGGCCACACAATACTCATCACCATAAAATGTTCACGCTCAAATCCTAACTGGGTAACATTTAAATGGGGACTGCTAGGACTATGGAGGGGGAAAATGGTTTGGAAAAGTTGGTTTCATCTTGGTATTTCACTGTAAAACCTACCTTTAATCAGAGAGAGCTTCCTACAGATAGAGAAGAACCTGGTTGCAGGGACTCATGAGCCACCTGGAGGGCACAGTACTAATGTGCCATGTCACCTACACAGGCTACCTAAGTGTATCCTGTCTGGGTACACTGGTATCTTCTTTAGTGCCAACCAAAGCACTGCTGGGGATATGGTGTGGCTCAGTGATAAGAGCACTAGTCTAGCATGCTGGAGGCTCTGGATTCCATCTCCAGCACAGGAGAAAAATAAAAATCACATTCTCAAAGCATCACTTTGGTAGTTTTCCCCCAGACACAAGCACGTTTAGATCCTGCCATGTCACTCTCCTAGGAAAGCAACAGGAAAGGAACATCCCAGGGACCCCAGTGGCAGGCTGGGCATCCCAGGGCATAACGTCCAAGCTGCTCTGCCTGGAAAACACTGAGAACAGACAGCAGAGCGTATGAACATCACCTGCCTAGTACTGGTGACCTCTGAGCTCATTTTCAGGAGCCCACACAGGCCACAAGAACTTCACGCCCTTTCCATTCCATGCCTTCCTCTAAGCTTGAAGGCCTCCCCGCCATACCAGCCCCAGCATTCTGGCAAGATAAGCCTTTGAGGGTGAGCTATTGTCACTTATCTAAGTGCTCTCACCACAAAGCTAGCCTGCTGGAGTCTGGCTCAGCCAAAAGATAAGTCTGTGGGCCTCAAACAATGGCCAGCATGCCTCAGCCTAATGCAGGCTGAACAGGCTCCTACTGCAGCTCTTCTCTTATTTAAGAGAGGCTTACTTGGATTTTCCAGCTTTACTCTGGCTTTGGCAAGAGTTACTTCTGGGTTTCCTTTATGAATCTACAAGGACCACAAGAATCCCAAAGCCCCAACACCTTCATTCACTTCAGCCCTGAAGGTCCATGAGCAATGCCATTCTAGCAAGAAAAGTGTAATACATGTCAAACATGGCAATGTACACCTTTAATCCCAACACTGGGGAGGCATAGACAGGCAGATCTGAGTTCAAGGCTAGCCTGGTCTACAGGAAAGCCAGAGAGCTACATAGTGAAACCCTATTTCAACATCCACACACACACAAAAAAAAGAAAGAAAAGTGTATTGCTTACCAAGCCTTTTCTCTTCTCTTTAGTGGTGAGAATTGAATCTGGGGCCTTATGCATGCAAGGTGAAGGGTCTACCACTGAGCTATATTTTTAGTCTTCCTAGTTCTCTGTGTGTATACACGTTAATGAGTGTGTGAGTGTGTTCTTGTGTGGTGGCCAGAGGTCAATGTCAGGTGTCTTCCTTTGTCAATTTTCTACCTTTTTTTTTTTTTTGCGTCTCTCACCAAACCTGGAACTCACTAACTCAAATAGACTAGCTGGTCTTTGTCCTCCAGTACTGGTATTATAGCTGTCTACAACCATACCCAGCCATGGGTTACAGGAACAAGCTTGTGTGGCAAGCAGTTTACCAACTGAGCCATCTCTCTAACCCCCCTTCTTTTTATTCTGGGCTTACTCTGTAGCCCAGGCAGGCCTTAAGCATGTCATGTTTTTGCCCCATCCCCAAGTAGCTGCGGTCACAGGCTTGTACCACCTGCTCACCTTGTTTTAAGATGTCCTCTTACAACAAGTTGAATAGTAACAGCAGTGAGAAAGAAGAAATGTGACCCCTGCTTTTTTGCACAGGGTCTCAAAATCTGTTCCCTTGAACTTCCAAGAGAGTCACTCTGTAAGAGTGGGTGAGACTGAAAGCTTAACCAGTGTCAGGCATGAGGCCCACCTGTAATCCTGGCACTGGGATACTGAGACAGAGGGAAAGAGTTGGAGGTTAGTCTGGGCTACATGAGACCCTGTCTCAAAAAAAAAAAAAAACTGGCAGCTTCTAACCTGATTGGAGACAGCCAGCTCACTGCTCTGTAGTCTGTACACGGCCCCACCAAGATGGCTGGGGCCCCACAACCCTAGAAAAGAGAGAGCACCGCCTAGCACAGCCAAGCAGACACACACATGCTTCAATGTCCCCCACCCAGGGCAAGGGACAAAGAAAAGGGTAAGTTAATGAAAACAAGTTTAACCACTGGTGCTTGTAGAATTTGAGAATGGACATAACTCTCCTTCCTTAGCCTCACAAATATTGGTATTAAAGCTGCTACATCAGGCTCTTGTATTTCCCCCTTTCCTTTCTTTCCACCATTTTTTTTTTTTTTTTTTTTTTTTTTTTTTGAGACAGGGTTTCTTTTCTCTGTGTAACCCTGTCTGTCTTGGAACTCGCTCTGCAGACCAGGCTGGCTTCAAACTCAGAGATCCATCTACCTCTACCTCTCAAGTGCTGAGAGGTGTGCACCACTACCGATGGGCTCTTCTGAACTTTTAAATTACGTGTGTGTGTGTGTGTGTGTGTGTGTGTGTGTGAGTGTCTGTGCGCGCGCGCGCGTGCGTGTAGTATCCATATGTAGGTCAGCAAGATAACTTGTTGGAAATGGATTCAATTCAGGTCACCAGGTATGGTGTTTACACGTTGGGCTATTTCACTGTTTCCTCTTTTTTCCTTCTCTTTCTCTAGCACTGCCCCTCGACACACACTTTGGCCTCCTTCCTTCCTTGAAGTGCTGCAGTTTGAACCCAGGGCCCTGTGCATTCTAGCCCAGTGCCCACTGAACTACATTTCTAGTGAGGGTATTTTATTTCCTCCTCTGTAGTGGCTAACTCCACTTCTGACCAGCCATTAGTCTCCTCCTAGGAGGTATTCCAACCCAATGGCTGGTACCTACCCCTCTACCAAGGATAAAACAAAGTTGGGCTTGCCCTGAACAAGGACCTCAAAGTAACATGACGGACAGATAGATCAGAGGAACCCCACTCTACCCCCAAGCCTCTGTGGTCAGAAATACATTCTGGGAGAGTTTTCCTTGAGGCTTCAGCCCCTTTTTGAGATGGGGGCCTATTTTTTGAAACAGGGCTTCATGTAACCTCAGACTTGCTATATAACCAAGAATGACCCTTCATGAATTACTGATCTTCTTGCCTCTATGCCACCCCAAGTGCTAGAATATAGGCATGTGCCACCACATTCTGTTCATGCTGTACTGGGAACTGAACCCAGGGCTTCTATAACGGAGCTACATCCCCAGCCTCCCACTCCCTGTTTTTTAAACTACTTTGGAAAAGGTGTTACCTTTATGTTTATAGAAATAAAGTTCTATTTCATAAAACAAACAAACAAACAAAGCCTAAAATATTTTTAAAAGCATGGAAAAAGCTAGCCAGAGTTGACATAACTGGACTGGCCAGGGCGTTGGAACCTAGCAGGAAACCCCCTGCACCAGCAGACAGCCCCTGGGAGGCTGCTGACCAGCAAGGGCTATGCAAATGTAAGCAAATTTCCACCAGTGTTCAGGCAGGCTGCACACAGGTTTCTCCTTCTGCCTGGCTGGCTGAACTGAGAACTGACATGACCCTGAGAGGCACAGTGTTCCCATGCAAAAGGGCAAGGAGTCCAGGGGTCAGCTGAGGCTGGCTGGGACACTTGAGCACAGGTATCAGTAAACTTCCTGCCACTCTGCTTCACAGCCCAAGGCTCAAGCTTCAATGGGCTCAAAAGCAGCTGGCTATCCAGCACAGACCAAACTGTGATCTCAGCTGGACTATTCTGGTCACCTGAACACAGGGAGGCAGCTGTGGCCCCTAAGGTCATGACTTCATAGATGAGGTAAGAAGTCTGTCACCTGAACACAATTTTGTAAAGCCTGGGGCTGGAAGAGACCTGGAAGGCAGCATGGGGAGTGGCTCCCCAGCAGAGCCTGGTTACCTCGGCTGATGCGCTGCTTCTCTCCAGACAGGATCCCAGGAGTGTCAATGATGCTGATGCTGTCTAGGACTGGGTTGGGCAGCTGAGCACACATGAACCTGCAGGAGAGCAAAGCCAGAGAGACATCAGAGTGAGGCTGACATTGATCCAGGTAGGATGGGAGGGCTTTTCAGCCTCTGCTCCCTCTGAACAAACTAACTGGGACGTCAGTACTTCCCTCCTTGTCAACTCTTCACCCCAAGGTTCATGAGTTCAGCTTCCCAGTTGCTGACTTGTTAGTGAAAGCTGAATGAGCCCAGACCACACTTCAGTTCTGAAGGGAAACAGAAGTGTAACACTAAGCCTTTGCAATTCCATCTTAAAATTTTTACCCAGATAGGGTTGTGCATAAGTATAATCCTAGCACTTAGGAAGCAGAGGCAGGAGGATCGAGGCTAATTAAATTCCAGGCCAGCATGGTCTACACAGGAAGACTCTGGCTCAGTGGATAGGAACACTTGCCACCAAGCCTAACAGCCTTGGGTCAATCCTCACAGTGCAAGGAGAAGGCTGACCCACACTGTCCAATGAACTCCACAGTGCTGTGGCATACAATGTGACACAGAATAAGCAAGTAACTAGAAAGAAAAATAACACAGCTAGGCATGGTGATGCACACCTTGAATCCCAGCACTCAGGAGGCAGAAGCAGGCACTCTCTATAAATTCAAGGCCAGCATAGCATGGTCCACAAAGCAAGTTCCAGGACAGCCAGGGGCTGCACAGGGAAACTTTGACTCAAAAAAAAAAAAAAAAAAAAAAAAAAACCCCAAAACAAAACAAAACAAAACAAAACAAAAAACTTAGCTGAATTCCCGAAACACATTAAGAAGGAATGGTCTCTTTCTGTGTATGTGTATAAATGTATATGTTTGTGCACACAGGATCCACCTTAATGTCTACCTGCTTCCCTACTCCCAACCTGTGCCGGGATTACAGACCTGCAATTCAGCCCTGTACCCAGTGTTTACAGGGGTCCTGGAGCTCTGAACTCAGGCCTTCACCTTACTCGCTGAGCCATCCCCCAGCCCTGGGATGGTCACTTTCTACTGCTGCTGGGGCCAGCTGCCCATGAAGGGACTGCAATGGGCCACCACTACTCAGTGGTATGGAAGGAGTACAGACACACCATTCTTTGAAAGTCAAAACCAGCCTCAGAAGAGGAAGCTGCAATAGAGAGGGGAAAATCTTGATGAGAGTTGAGCTATGGTCCTGTGTTCCATGATGAGCTAAGAGTTTACCAGAGCAGCTATCATCTGTTTCAAAGGGGGGGAGTTCTTTAGTGGACAGAGAAAAGGCTCCTTTAAAAACCTCTTGATTGCTGGGCAGTGGTGCCCCACGCCTTTAGTCTCAGCACTCAGGAGGCAGAGACAGAGGCAGGTGGATCTCTGTGAGTTCGAGGCCAGCCTGGTCTACAAGAGATAGTTCCAGGACAGGCTCCAAAGCCATAGAGAAACCCTGTCTTGAAAAAACAAAAAACAAACAAACAAACAAAAAAAAAACCCTCTCGATTATGAGCAAAATAAAAATACAAATACAGACCTATTGTCTGCCAGTTCCAAGCTGCCCTTCTACAACAGGGGAGCACTCAGGCAGGTGAAGTGTCTCCTGTGGCCCCACACTCCCAATAGGCTGGGGGAAAATTTGAAAGATACTGTCTCCAAATGCAGCAGCCCCTACCACTGTACGTCACTGCACACCAGACCTGAGTTTCTTCTTGCTTGGGATAAACTCTTAGGCTCAATGGAGATAGAATGACAAGAAAAATTAAATTAAAAAAGAAGAGTGGAAGTGGAGTTGGTTCTGGGAAGTAACACACACAAAAAAGGCCTCAAAGGAACATCTGCAGAACCTAGTACATGTACAGCAGGAAAGGCAAGGGGCAGTACAAATGCTTCCCTTGGCAATAAGGACAGAGAATTCAGTTCTTAGGACAAGTGGGTGGGTCCAGTTATACAAGGAGGAGCATATACAAACCACTCTGGATTCCTTCATCCTGCTCCGTCTGTTCCTCTCACTATCTCTGAGGAGCACTCAGGAGAAAGAGGCTAGCAAGTCAAGTTCATGACTCAATGGGTCCCTTTAAGAGTGCCAGACAAAGCTGTATCAGCCAGAGAAAAGCCCCCTTTGTTGTGCCCTCCTGGCCAGAGGCACTGTGGTCTGAACATCCTGATACAGCTCCGGTCTTGGACTACACCAGCATTTTGGAGACCCTCTGGAATTGGGGTGGTGACAAGAAGGAAATGTAAGTATAGTTCTTGGATCCCAGGGGCCCCATGTCATCAAAGTGCTGTCCTTTGCCAAGGGTTCCTCAGTTGTTCCTTTTGGGGGGCAGTGGTAGTGAGTGAACAAAGCACAAAGAACAGGCAGTCAGCATGGCCTTTACCCTGACAGTTCAGTGGGGCCTGGGTTTCATGAGTTAAAGAACTGGGGATGGACGGTGTGCAAGATCATTCCAGCTCTTCAGCTCTGCATTCCAAAGGTGGGAAACTGAGCAGGTGCCAAGTTCCATGTTTCAAAAGATCTGCCCTCACAATGAGGGGAAGACAGAGGCCAGCAGTGGTTGGAACAGTGAAGGCTCACAGAAGTGAAGGCTCCTACGACTCCTGAAGCAGAGGCATAATAATGCATGAATGAACTCCTTGGCTCAGTAGCCAAACTTCTCACCAGACCACTGGCTCCCACCAACAGGAGTCTGAGCCAATGTCCTACCTACAGGTGCAGCAAAGCTCAAATATCCCTAGGGAAAGGCCGTCCAGGCTAAAGGGACCAGAGTATTGTACTCAACCAAGCCTGCCAAGCAAACACCATCATCATTAAACAAGACAGGCTGAAACTGCTTAGAAGGGACAAACAGACAACATTAAAGGCCAGTTCCATGCAGGAGGCAGGCCTGGCAGGGAGCTTGCTCTGGAAAAAGCTGGCCCGCCCTGTGCGGCTGGACAGTGTCTGTAGAGGAATGTGCTCGTATAGGGCGGAGACCTGGAAAGCAGAATTCAGATTCTTTCCTAGGCTGTTCCCCCAGGCTGAATGCAGACTTCGAAAGGCATGTAGAGTTACTCCTTGAAAGAGGGAGCACAGAGGGCAGGGTCTGTGAGTCCCGTCATGCCTTCTGGGGGTGGAGGCTAGGATGCCAGACTACCTTCACACAAGTGATCCTGCGTGCTAAAGCTCCTCACACAGGCAGGCCACTGTGATCCGTTCACAGCATCCTAAGGAGCTGAATCTTTTCTCATCCCTTGAAATGGTGAAACTGAGACTCAAGTAAGACACATAAACACCTATCAACTCTATAGTAGTGAAATGTAGGAGTCTGGTCATTTCAAGGGTCTCAGGGTTACCATCCCTGAAATCTCTTGAGGCAGCACTAACTCATTAATCTTATGTACCCCTGGCTGGCCTGGAATTCACTTCAGTGCTACTTTTATGAGAGATGTTTAGACTCTGTCATCCCCTGCCTTCAATGGGGGCTGCCTCCCACCGGTCCCTGGGGATATGAAGCAGAGTGAGACACACCAGTGAAGGGATCATCTAAGTCTCAGGTTTTTCCATGGCACTTAAAAAACAGACTCCAGAGAAGGAGGGAGATTGATGAGAATGAACTGGGTGCCTCCAGAATGAAGAACAAGAATGGGAGGACAGCAAGGGCTCATCGTCCTACGGCGCGGACCATGGCTGGCTCTATGAGGAGGTCTGGGGTCAGCGGGGATGGAGGGAAGAGTTAAATTGATAACCTGGAAGAGTCTGGGGTTGACATAGGTCAGAAGAGTGGACGATGCCTATTACCCGACACCTGGGTAGTCACTGGGTCGCAACAAGGCCACTGTCCCTGGGATTGGTCGACTGGGGTCTGGTGGGGTTTCGTGGAGACAAAGGCCGGCGGGGGCAAAGGCTGCGGGGACCCATGATGGTCCTCGCGCCTAGAGAGAAGGGGTAGGTACCTGTTGAGGAAGGCGTTGCCGAAGGCGTTGAGCTTGCGGAAGGGGCGCCGCGGGTCGACGACGAGCGCGTTGCCCGGCACCACGCCCTCGGTGGGGCCGTGCATGACCGCGATGAAGGAGTCGGTAGTGGGCTCCGGCCCGATGCGCATCCCCGGGAAGTCCTGCTCGATCAGGTGGCGGATGAAGGTGGTCTTGCCGGTGCTGTACTGGCCGACCAGGAGCACCATGGGCTTGTTGTCGAAGTCAGCGTCCTCCAGCGCGGGCGAGTGGAACTCGTGGAAGCGATAATGCTCCTCCAGAGGCAGCAGCTTCTGCGCGTACAGCTGCCGCAGCCCCTCGGCCACGGTCTGGAAGAGCTCCGGCTCCTTCTTGCGGCGGGCATCCTTGCTCACCCAGCTGAACATGCTGCCTGAGACTGAGCTGGCTGCTGCGGGACGGAGCGGCGGCTGAGCGGGACGAGGGCTCGCGGCCGAGGAGGGGCCGGCCGGCCGGCGGAGGGCAGCAGGGCAGGGGGCGGGGCGCGGCCCACACTGCGCAGGCGCAGGCTCGCGGACGGGCGCGCAGATCACGAGAGCGCCCTCTGCTGAGAGCCACGCGAGCTTCGCCGAGCGGCCCCTTTATAGGCCGGAGCCCGGCGTTCCGGCCGCCTCAGGGCCGACCGGAGCGGGGGCGGGGAAAGGAGTCCTCCAGGCCCTGCCCCACTCGCGTGCCACGTCTTCCCCTGCTTCCCATTGGCTGATTTCAAATCTCGCGAGCCCGTGGCTGCGGTGCCCTGGCAACCGCACTTGTTTTGCTCCGCCCCTCGAGGGGTGGCTCGTGGAAGTCCTGCAGTTGGCCGAGCCGGAGTCTATCGCCAAGATGTACTTAGCCTGAGCACCCTCCGGCATCAGTGGGCTCCTGGACCCACCTCAACTGTACTCCCTAGCCATAGTGCTTCCTCCGACTGGAACCCCAAAAGTATCGGGAGCCCGGGCGCTGCTACCACACACACTCCTCACCCCTTAGTCTTTTAGTGACGCTGGGGAGACAGGACAGCGGGAATAGGGAGAGCTGAGACAGTAGAGGACAACGGGAAGAGAAAAGTCGGCAAGGAAGGAGACGGAATGCGGTGGGACTCCACTCAGGCAGATGGGAGAGGGACACAGCAAAGGACACAAACGACGTGACCTGGCGGGGAGCGGTCAAGGTCTCGCCGAAGAGGTTTCACCCTCGGAAGAGGTTTCACCCTCGGAATCGGGTAAAGAAGTTGAGGCTTTCTGGCTACTTGAGTTTTGAGGAAGTGAAATCGGAAATTCCCCTTGTGAGGAAGAGGGGAAATGTTGGGCAACAATGAAATGTTGTGGGAACTTAGGGAAATCAAAAGCCCAAAAACTTCCGCTTTCCTGTCAGGGACACCACCAGTCCCATCTTTTGTTCCGTTCTGAGTTCCAACCTCCTTTACCAATTGGTGGCTGTTCCACAGGGCTCATGCCTCCGCCATCATCCCTGGCCACACCTAGGCCCCCTTGGCTGTCTCTGCTGGTGAGAATTTTCAATGGGTGGTGTCAGAAATTTGGGGACTGTGATTGTTAGGTAACTGGTATCAGGTCACCTAAGTGGAAGGATGGTCTAAGGGCTGTTGGAGAAGTATAAAGTGAACCTCGGGAGTTAGTACTGGTTGACACACACCTATGGTCTCAGCTGTTTGGAGAGCTAAGGTTGGAGGATTACTTGAACCCAACAATATGAGAGCAGCCTGGGGAACAGAAAAAAAGAAAGAAAGAAAGAAAGAAAATATTTATTGATAGGATTAGATTCAGCTTTAATGGTAGAGCACTTGTCCAGAATGTAGGAGCCTATGAGCCCATCCCCAGCACCACAAAAGCTCTAGAAACTTGAAAGCCTTGAGTCCAACTTCATAGCTTTGAGAGACTTGGAAGCCTGACACCTATGTCAGGGAAGAAGACAGCACCGGAAGACAGAGATAGTGTACTGGGGATCCGAGTTGGATGGGATCCAGAGAACACAAGGTGGGTATGTTTGGTTGTCCACTTCAGAGATCATGGCCAGAAGATCAAATTCCAACCTCTTTGCAGCCCCAGGGCTCTGACTTCCAACTTTGATCTGGAGTTTCTCTTTGTGGGGTGGGGGTGTAAGTGTGCCATGAAAGTTCTCCCTTTCTACCATGTAGGTCCTGGGAACCGTACTCAGGCCATCACACTCCTTGACAAGCATTTTTTTCCACTGAGCCATCTTGACAACCCTCATTTCATAAGTATTTTTTTTCATCCATCACTGTGAAACAGAGAAGCCATGGCACTTTTGTAGAGAGAAGCTCTTGGGCAGGGACTGTTACCATCAGTTGTGTGCCAGCTGATGACCAGGAGCCTCAGGCAAGCCCAGTCCAGACTTCCTCAGTCAGCCTTATAGAAGCTCAATGGTTTTGCCTCCTACACAGCCTAGATGAGAGGTCCACCCCGGAGATGTAATTTCAGGGCTGATCCAGAGAAGAGCCAGAGGCTGAGGATCCTAAATGAGATGGTTGTCCAGACATCTGAATAGCTTCATGGCACTCTGTTGCCAGCAACACTCACACTGACTGGCCATGGTTTCCATGTCTCCCCAGAGCCCTGTGTACTGAGAAAGCCCAGCCCCAGAAAACTGAAAACAAAATGTTCCTGAGTTATTTATAAATGAAAGGAGATGTATGTGTTCACTCGACTTTGTCCAAGGAAATGAGAGGGTAGGAAAAAGGGGTCCTCACCCTTCCTCTTTCCCCTTTCTTTCCCTGCCTTGTCGAGGCTTCCCCAGGTCCTGGCTGCCTTCCTGTGTTATAGTGCCCCAGATTGTGAAACTAATTTCCTCCCAGTTTAGGTCTCTCTCTGTTTAGTGGGAAGGTGTAGAAAGTGAACAAGCAAATTTCGCTTTTGGTTTTTCTGCTGTTTGGCCTTCTGCTGTCCTCTTGGGTCCAGGACAGTTGGGCAAGATTCACATATTTTCTTCTACCTCACAAACTGTGCTCACCGCCCACTGCCAGTCAGTGACCACACACACACCTACAAACTGAAAGAGAAACCTCCCACTTCTTTGCCCACAGTCTCCTTGGTCCTCTGTTGGCCTGTTCTAAGAAATTGATTGCAGTATTCCCAAAGACAGATTCTTTTTTGGGGGCGTGGAGGGTGATTTTTCAAGACAGTTCTCTATGTAGCCCTGGATGTCCTGGGACTCACTCTGTAGACCAGGCTAGCCTCGAATACAGAGATCCACCTGCTTCTGTCTCCCAAGTGCTGGAATTAAAGGCATACACCACTATGCTCAGCTAAGGACAAATTTATTATTATTTTTCTTTTTCTTTTTGGTTTTTGAGACAGGGTTTCTCTGTGGCTTTGGAGACTGGCCTGGAACTAGCTCTTGTAGACCATGCTGGTCTCAAACTCACAGAGATCCGCCTGCCTCTACCTCCTGAGTGTTGGGACTAAAGGCATGCTCCACCACCATCCCACCGACAAATTTTATTTTTAAAAGAATTTGTGTATATGTGTGTTGTCTGCACGTATGTCTGCACAATACATGCATGTCTAGTTCCATTGGAGGCCAGAAGAGAGTATCAGAACCCCGGGACTAGAATTAAAGGCACTTGTGTGAGCTATCATGTACGTGCTGGGAATCAAACCCAGGTCCTCTTGGGAGTAGTCAGTTATCAACTTCAGATCCAACCTTCCCTCCACTTTTGAGACATGGTCTCACTATGTAGTCCTGGCTGGCCTGTAGACCAGGGTGGCCCCCAACTCAGAGATTAGCCTGTCTCTGCTTCTTGAGTGCTGAGATTGAAGATGTATACCACAATATCAGGCTTCCTAAAGGCAACTTTTGGAGGGAAAAGTGGGGAGGTTTTTCTCCAAAGATGGCAAAAGAATTGGACTGGGAAAAGCCCAAAATACTAGTTTCTCCCTGGCTGAGCAGTGGCTCATTCTTTCCACTGAGGAAGTCTGCACATAAGCACAAATTGTTGCTCCCACAGTTAACACTAGATTTGGCAGCAGACCAGTTCTATAAAAAAGTAAACAGGACTGGAGAAATGGCTTAGTGGCTAAGAGCACTTGCTATGTAAGCATGGGGACCTAAATTCAGATCCCCAGCACACACATAAAAAGCTTAAGAGGCAGTTCTTACAAAAACCCAGGGTTCAATTCCAAGCACCCACATGGCAGCTGACACCTGTATGTAACTCCAGTTCCTGGGAATCTGACACTATCAAGTGACATACATGCAAGCAAAACATCAATGAACATAAAATAATAAAAATAGGTGGGCAGAGGTGGCACATGCCTTTAATCACAGCACTGGGGAGGCAGAGACACACTACATAGTGAGTTCCAGGACAGCCAGAGCTACATAGTGAAACCCTGGGGTGGGGTTGGGGACGGGGTGTTGTGATGGCAAAAACAGGTGGATCTTTGGGATTGACTGATTACAGAGCCTTCCTCAAAGTTCAATGAGAGTTCCTGCTTCAAGGGAATAAGATGTTGAATAAGACAGCTAAAAAGGACCCTGGCCTCTCCAGGTGCACAGGGACTCATATGCCCATATACAACACACACACACACACACACACACACACACAGAGCCCAGCTAGGTGTCAGCACACACCTTTAATCTCAGTACTCAGGAGGCAGAGGCAGGATCTCTGAGTTCAAGTCTACAGAGTGGGTTGGTTCCAGGACAGCCATAATTGCACAGGGAAATCCAGTCTTAATCGATCAATCAACAAATAAATAAATAAATGAGTCATGGGTCCAAATATAGTTGTATCCACATCCACCTCTAATCTCATCCCAGGCAGAGGCAGGTGGATTTCTGTGAGTTCAAGACCAAAGTTAAAGTTAAAAAAAAAAAAAAAAAAAAAAAAAAAAAGGATTCTTCCAGTGCTGGTTGGAATCTTGGTTGCTCTCATATAGCAGTCAGGAAAAAAGTCTGAGGACCCAGGGTATCAGGTGACTTTCCTGAAGAAATACAGGCTGAGGAGAAGCTAGACCTTTGGAATCTGAACTGCTTATAATCTGACCCATCCCACCTACAAGTCCAGCAGTCCAAAAAGCAGAGTGGCTTCTGAGCCTCTTGGTAAAATACAGGTTGGTGGGGACTCCGCCCTGGAGCTCACCTGCCCTCTGCTCACATCTTGCACATAAGGCACACCCCTGCACCAGTAACTGGCACATACAACCAGCCACAAGGTGCTTTGCAGAGCTGATGTCTAGACACCTCTGAATGCTTTTACTCAAGCCATAGTTCAGGGTGGGAGTAACTCAGTGGAGTGCTTGATAACAAAGCACTGGGTCCTGTACCCAGCACAGTGTAAATCAGACATGATGATGATGCACTTGGATACAGGAGGATCACCCTTATCTACCAAGGAAACTGAAAGCCAGAATTCATTCATGTAGATAGGATTGTGAGATCTTACCTAAAAAAGAAAGGAAAACAAAAACAACCCCCCCCCAAAAAAACACTTTAGTTAACTGCCAGGCTAAAGAAGACACCAAATAATAGGCCTATAGCTGCTGAAGCAGGA